ACACAAATGAACGTGTTTTCTAACGAGTTTATTGTAAAAGTCTAAGCTAAAAATCAAGACAAGACGCACTTTTAATGTAAAGACTCGAAAAATATCTGTAAACAACGTGTTTTCGAACGAATTCTATCGCTCAAAGCTCAGCGTTATTTGACGTACTTGACACGAACCAACAGCGCCCTTTTAATATCTTTGCTTGATGCTCAAAATAAACCGCAAAAGGAGTTTATCGCTTCTACGAAAAAGTTTGTGAGATACGTACCTTTTTAGCATGAGACTTTGGTTCTAATTCCAGCAGCATTTGTAACGGTTATAAGTGTAGCTGGCTAGTCGAGCTCCAAGGACGACGTGTGCATAAACGCACGTGCACTTCATCTCAACTAAACTGCATGTGCACACTAAATTTAGTATATTTATACGCTTCGACTATTTTTCACTAAATTTTACTAAATTTCACTATTTTAATTTAGTGTTGCACGGATATATTGCTTGCACTCTATTCAAATTCAAATGCTCACTTTCGCATGAACAGGTTTTCTTAAAGGAAACTAATTTCAACAGTCCATGAAAAAGTCTCAAATGGAGAGGATTCTATTGATGGAATCCGAACTAAGAAAACATTCATTTAGTCTATTCAGTTTTTGAGAAAACCACGTGAATTGAAAACTAAGTTTTTTTAGTTACCTCGCACGTCGGCATTACGTCATAAACAACCCTCGAGGCTCCGGCCCTCGGGCTGTATTTAGCGTAATGCCTCCGTTCTCGGTAACTAACTCTTTAACTTATAATGAAGTATGATAGAAAGTTTTTTTTCAAGTTTTTTCCACCTTTTAGTGCTTTAAAATGTCTAAAACTTACATATTTTGCAGAGAAATTGCTTTTCAAAATGTTGTCGGCCATTTTAATTTTGTCCTAGTCCCCTCTCAACCTTGAAAATAAGAATCCCCACAAAAACCACTGGTGGCCCGCGCGAATGTCAGACAATTATTTGAATGTCAGATAATTATTCAATATCCAGTGATCACAGAAGTTTTGAATTTTATTATGTATAAGATTCAATATTCGGTAAACAGATGTTAAAATAATTCATTATCATCATTTTAGTTATGATCAAAAGCATCCATTATCATCAGGACTGCTGTTCACCATCAGTGGAAGTCATATCAGCCACGAGCCTAAAAAGTATAAGAAAAAAGAGCGATTCATTATAAATAGTTTATTATTTAGAAAATGTTGAACCCAAGTGCATTTTGGGTGGCACGGGTGGCCTAGCGGTTAAGCTACTGGCCTCTCACCGCTGTGGTCCGGGTTCGATTCCCGGACACGGACCATATGTGAGTTTGAGTTTGTTTGTTGTGTTGTTCTCTCCCTTGCCACGAGGGTTTTTCTCCGGGTCCTCCGGTTTTCCTCCCTCAGCAAAAATCAACATGTGAGGAGTGCTGTGTGCTAAAAATACTTAACGTAGAGGTAGTGAGTGTGAGTTGCCGATGGCCCAGTGGTAGATTAGTCTATGACTAAACTGGTTTACCATCATTAAAATAAGGTTTGTTTGTTTAAATGTAGTTCTATCAGCTTTCCGAAAGTTAAGATTACTGTTTCAAAGCGACTACGTCAGCTCTTTTTATTTTGGATGAAAACTAACTTAGTTTAGAATTGATTTTTTTGAAATTTCATTTTGAAATCGATTTTGGAATACGTATGCATTGTTCAACACACAGCTAATTTTCAAATACCATACAAATTTCCAGCTAGCTTTCTAACGACAAGTATGCTGTACGACAATCAAAATAATGGTGGTCATTTGTCACAGATTGATTTACCTCCCGTGAGGCACGGGATAGTGACGTAATAACTCAGGTAATCCGCATTTTGCTAAAAGCGCATGTCGATTAATAAAATCGTGCGCATTCCTTCTTTTCTTTCTCTCATGCACTAAATGGACGGCCTGTGTTGTGATTTAGATTGGAATTGGAATATATAATGTGGAATATAAATTGAGAGAAAGCCACTTTGCTATGAACTTTGTAAAAAGACATAAATAATATTGTACGGATATAAACTGTCGCTTGCGTTGTTTATCATAAGCAAGCAGATTAAATAGAGAATAATACATGGGCGCGCG